ACACACACACACACACACACACACACACACACACACACACACACACACACACACACACACACACACACACATACACACACACACACACACAAATACTCTTTCCTCTCTCCATTGATCTCTTTCAATTATCTATCCATTTTGCTAAACTCGGTCATTTATTAAAATCCGTTCATTCATACATTCATCCACCCACCAAATCCATCCATCCTTATCCATCTCCAGCCATTCTCGTTCCTTGTTCCTCCATCCACAACTATACCCATCCACCAACCCACCCATCCATCCACCTACCCGCCTATCCGTCCATGCATTCATGCATTCAATCCTTCATTCCCCACCTACACACTTCCTTTCCTTTCGTCTTTCAGATATAAAGCTGATTCCTTCCTGCCACACACTGCGCACCAAGTACAGTCTCTGTTATTGTGCAGACGTAGCATCACGACGTAGAGTACTGTACGTGTACGACTGTGGAGCATGACTGCCTGCTATCAAACAAAGTAGCAGTTAAAATACCAGATTGAACATTGCTGGTATTTTCAGTGCCAGTGAAAATACCAGCAATGTTCAATCTGCTTGTCCATGATCATCCGGAAAACTACCAATGACAGAAACAACAACTGAAAATACCAGTGCCAGTGAAAGTACCGGTGATACCAGCGATGCGCAGTTGAATCCTGCTCATACACGATTGTCAGGTCGCAATGAAACTACAATAAAAACCCATGCCACTGAAAGTACCGCTGAAAGTGTCGCTGAAAGTACCACTGAAAGTGCCGCTGAAAGTACCACTGAAAGCACCAATAACACTTAAAAGTCTCACTGAAACTACGGATGAAAAAAAAAAAAAAAAAAAAGAAGAAGAAGAAGAAGAAAGTACCAGTCAAAGAAGTATCATGCGCGTACATCATTGTGAAGTCACAATGGAACTACATGTGAAGTCACAACGAAAGTACAAGCGAAAGCACCAGTGTGTCAGTGAAAGCAGTAGTGATGTAGAACCGGACCATTCTCGTACAGAAAGGTGAAGTAACAATGAAAGTACCGAGTAAAGGCCAGTCACGGGGAGGGGAGGATCTAACGATACCTGAGGGCTGGGCATCGAGAGGGGAAGAGAGAGAATTTGTTGGCACACAAATGGATGTGGATGGATGGATTTGATGGGTGGATGAATGTATGAATGAACGGATTTCAATAAATGAAGAGTATTTGTGTACCAACAAAATCTCTCTTCTTCTTCTTCATCATCCTTTTTCTTCGTTTTCTTCTTCTTCTTCTTCTTCTTCTTCTTCTTCTTCTTCTTCTTCTTCTTCTTCTTCATCTGCCCCCTCTCGACGTCGCGTTGATGCTAATCTGCGGGGTTCTTTATCTTACCGACAGCCTGCTCTGCCACGTCGACAGCGTTTGGCGACCATGCGCCGACCGCACCAGATCAGACCCAGCTTTCCAGTGGTGACCGACGATAACAAAAAAGAGGGCAATGATACGAACACGTCTTCCCCCTCTTCTTCTTCTACTTCTACTTCTTCTTCTTCTTCTTCTTCTTCTTCTTCTTCTTCTTCCTTTTCTTCGTTTTCTTCTTCTGCTTCCTATCTTCATCATTCTTTTCTTCGTTTTCGTCTTCTTTCCAGTGATGACCGACGATAACGTTGGAAGACATTCGTTCGTGTTAGAAAATAAATTAGGAGGTCCGTACACGG